CCCTTATAATTTCAGCCTTTTTTTTTTTTTTTTTTTTTTGACATGTATCACAATGGAATGTATCACATGGGAATTTCGTCTCAGGTGGACCTGAATGCAAGTTACTTAACCCACTCTGAATTGGACCAGACAATCCCCTTAAAAGTGAAAGGACAAAGATCTCCGGACAATTTTTTGAGATCTCTCAACTGAGTTGGAAGACAGCTAGAGTTTCCTTGGAAAGTATTGTGTGCATAATTATGTCTAGATTCAGACATTAGCCATCTGATTGTTGAGGCCAGCATCAAGCTGGCAGATTCTACGAACTCTCCCACCAAAGTGGCCCATCTCCAAGTAAAGGAAACTGTGCTCAAAGGAAGACCATAAAATGACTTTTGGACAAACCTTTTCTTTCACCCTTTTTAGTTAGAACATGTTCTAACTAAAAAAAAAAGAAAGGAAAAAATTGTTCAATCAGGAACAGATCGAATGGTCAACCCTTGTGTACGTCACTACTAATATTTGGCAACACTAGCATTATGCAAATCAATTATCTATCATCGTTAGTCTGGCAAATTTATAGTGCAAATATTTTCTGTATTTTGGTTTAATAAAGCATTCAAATAGGTACCTAATTATTATTTTTTACCTACTTATTTATTTACCTACAAATTACATATTTTATTATAGAATTTATTGTTAGTTCGTTTAATTGGGGCAGTTGCTTAATTGGGCCAAAATGGATTAGTCCCAATGTGTCCAAATTAAGCAGAATCGACTGTATATATTTTATATATATAAGAAAGGTAAATTATTCTTGAATACAATAGAATCTTCTTACTGGAATTACTTTGGGACTCGCCTAGACTAGTGTTATTGTTATTCTGTTTTTATGAGTTGCTTAGACAACAATTAACAGAAATTCTGGTTTTATTTCCTAATTTCACAAGATTTATTATAATTATTTATTAATTGTAATTTGTCTAGTGTTGTTTTGAAAGGACCAATCTAAGTGCATCAGAGTTTGTTAAAAAACCAAATTTTATTAAACTAGAAATGCTAGTAATGAGCTTTCTGACTACAAATAAAAGATATGTTAAAACTATAATTTTTATTAAACTCAAAATGCTACAATTTCAATTCACATTAATAATAAAAGTACAAGAATAAAATTGATTATTAGAAAAAACCCACAAATTGCAATTATTTGGTATCTCTAACACTTAAAGGCAGCTCCAAACATTCGATACTTGCCAAATGCTGAGCAAACATTTGGTCACTACCAAGCAGTGTGGATGATGTACTTGCAATTCACTCCAAAAATATTCTGTATTCACCGTTACCTGCTCCTTATTGGTATATTGTGCCAAATCAAAGAAACAAATCTCAGGCCGACATTTATAATTCCCACAATGAATTGATGCTCCACAAATAACCATATGTGTACAGGTAACCCCCGTATAACACGGTAGTTACGTTCCAAAAAATTGCAGTGTTATACGAAACAAAGAACTAATACGAAAAGGAGGGTTAGGTTCCAAAAATTAAAAAACATGCTAGTATATTTTCATAATTAAGATAAATATCTTCATTAAAANCTTCATTACTTTTAACTATTGTAATTTGTGAAATGTTTCACTCCACCCCCGGGAGGGACATGCAGGGCCGGCCATCTGGGGAGTGCGGCGGATGCTATGCACCGGGGCCCCGCGATTGAGGGGCCCCCAACATTATCAAGAACTGAAATAATGTACTCTTGCACATGAAAACTTGACAATATTCCTATCGTCGTCAGTATGACAAAAGTACATTTTATCGTAAACATTATTATTGTAGATCTCTGAATTTCGACAATCTTCAAACTAATTCTCGATGATGCGAGTGTTTAGTTTTTGTTATTTGATTCGGAAAACTCCCGAGGATCCCCACCTAAACTGGACTTTTTAGAAAAAAATCTCAATACCATACATCCCGCGTTAAGAAATGAAAATAATACTGTGGCCGTCGGCCATATAAAATTACAGTATATGTATATTTGTATATAGTCATAGTTTTAATGTTTCTTTTATAATTTCTTCTATCTCTTTTTGTCTGTCTTATTTCTGGAACTTTCGGTGGTGACCGTTATTGTCGCTGGGTAGGATTAGCCGTTCCAAGAATAAAAGAGAATAATAGGCGATGGGGTAACTTGGGAAAAGCAACGAGCGGAATTGGCACCTTTTGGACCTGACGACTAAGGAATCGGACGTGCCAGGGAAGAGATCAGAGTGAAATCTCGGTAAGAAAGACGAGATAGGAGAGTTTGTTCAGAAGAAGGACAGAAGGAACGACGTTCTAAGGAGTCTTAAGGAGCCTCCGAGAAGCTGTGAGAATTCAAGAGTTCAGCACGAGAAAGAAAGACGTGTCTACTCACAGAGTTGAAGAGGAAGGTTGAAATTCGAAGAAGCCTGAGAACAGAAAAAGAAAATAAAAATCGTGAGCACATGTCCAGGACAAGTGCCCCGTTTGCCCCTCTAAATACAGTACATCCACAAACCAATGTACAGTAGGAACGTACCTAGTGTAGCTCTGTGTTCTTCTATTGACACGTAGTCACTTTGAAGACATAATTACGATAAAAATGGCAATCAATTACTCGTAGACCCCATAATAATTGCATTAATAACGTTTATTTTCGGAATGTGATCGTTTCAGTAACAGTAACATTCTCCTCCTACACAATTTCCAGAAAAATAATTCGAAAGTTGGCAACTTCTTTGGCAGTCTTGGTCATCGAAGCACACGTCTGGTATTACGTTAGCTTCCGTACGCATAACTATAATAAATTAATCACATTTTTTCCTTACGCTCTTCCATTTACCAAATATCTAACAAGAAAAAGCATAAATTTCCTTACCTAATGCCAAGAAAAGTAGAACAAATTGGATGAAGTGGTAAATGAGTGAAGTTTTCATTCTGTGTTACTGAGCGTTATAAATTTAATCGTAAACTTCGACTATTTATAGTCAAGTTGTAGCAAAATTCCACGTAATTCCCGTTACTCAACAGTCAACGTTCAGATATTACATCCGTGTGAACTTCCCCAACTGCTAACGTCTGTTGCGTACTTTAGACACTTAGAATAGAATGTAAAACGTTATAACTGAACGTAAAAACGTGCTAAATCATTTATGAGTTGCCATCGTCATTAATTATCCGAGTTGTCAGTTTTCGAGAGACATTATCACGGTTCAAAGGGTGTGGAATATGTAAAAATATTCTTAGAAATTCATCCGGAACCTCTGTTGATAAGGATTAAGTTTGTTACGAAACAAATATATTTAAAAACTAAAATTAAAAGTAATTACTGTATATAAGGAAAGAAACTTATTTATAATTAGATAATTTTACCAGTCATACAGTCTAAAACACGTAGCTGGTCGTTAATTGATTTCAATTTCCTTGTTGCAACATCATTTCGAGCTCAATACCAAAAAAAATTTTGCAATGTGCAAAGGGAAATTAAAAATAAAAACGTAATTCGTGTAAAATGTTGTGAACAGGAAAATTAGCTTTGAATTTTCGTGGTTAATTAAGATTTACAGAATTTCAGATGCATTTCATATACTATACGAAATAATACTTCTTAATGTTACTGTTACATTTCATATCTTACTTATCTTGTTATTGGTTTGTAAATATTTTGAATGATATCAATTATCGGAGTTAGAATTTTTTCAGTTTTTATTGCTTAAACATAAATATTGTATTTAAAATAAAAATTAAGTACAATATTTACGTGCATTGCTTAATTTTCTTGTTTGTTTCACTTTACCAATATAATTGTCTAGTAAACTGTTTTATATTTTTACAGTTTACCAGTACAGTTTTACATTACAGTTTTACAGTATAATATTACAGGTAATATTATATGTGTATATAGACTTCTGTTTGCATTAATTTCATATATTGTTATAAATGTAATACTCTGTAATCATGTTTTTAATAATTACCGAGTACTTAAAATATTTAAAAGTATTTATTTTTTCTTTTGACTTTACACTGTCCTAAAAAGAGTGGATGGGGACTGAACCAATGCTTTTCTGTGTGCACTGAATGCAGAATTAATGTGATAGATTCTAATAATTGATTTTTACAAGGGGCATTTGATAAGTAATTTCTGCATGTACGAGCAGTGTTATGATATCAAACTGAAACCAAAAGAATAGAGTTTAGTGTTAATTAAATTAGAAATACTTTTCAATTTCTCTACGTGGTCCGCTCTACAGATATGCCAATGTTTAACAAGTATTTTCGTCCGGCCTTTGTCAAAATCATTGCGTTGTTCGGGAAACCATTTCCTCGTAGTGGTTTCAACGTCTTTGTTGCAGGTGAATGCCCAAGAGATGTCTCTCGAGAATAAGAAATGATTAGAAGCCGAGGACGCTAAATCTGGACCGTAAGGAGGATATTCGAGAACTTCAAACTGGAGTTTCTGTACGGATTCTGATGGAAAACATTGGTATGGTGTCTAAATCATTATGTTGCAGCATAATTAACTTTGTTCTTCTGTTCCAACACCATAAACTACTACAAATTTCTCTGAGACATACATTTTCAAGAGTAAAAATTCTACAATTGAGAGTTGTTTGATATGCGTCAATAATTGGAAAACTGTCATCCATTTTATTCATACTATAATACATTTGATGTTCTACTATGCATTAATCTGAAACTAATAAAATGAAGAATCAGTTCTTGTCTAACTGCTTGCTAGGCAATAACTCCCGTGCAAAACATAGAAAGGCATTACTTATTCCTTAGACAATCATTAATGTAAATAACAATACCCGCCCCTCACCCAAATAAGGAAATAAATTAAAATATTGAAAATATCTGCAATTTATTTTCATTTTCTATTGCAAAACAAACAATACAGAATTGTAAACAAGTATATTATTTTTACTATATCTATGTAAAATAATTTTATCACAGTGTCAATAATTAACTTATTCAATGCGAGATTATCTACTTCTGTTTAATTCGTCTTCAATCTTAGCATTAATTTTATTCCAATCAATTTCGACCTGTAAAAATTAATTATACAATGTAACGGTTATGCATTTTGGGTCATAGCTTAACACAAATCTAAATATATAGGGTGGCACAAAAGTCTGTTAACCAGTAAACAGTTGTCTTATTTTGTACTAAAATGTACTTTGCTGTTCTAAATTCAGTTTGTAATTCTTATTCAAAAGTGCACTCAAACACATCAAATCTTGTTAACTAACTTTTGTGCCATCCTATCTATCAAAAAGAACTTTACATCTTTTGAATATTGAAGAAATCGCTTATTTGTCTCCTTTCTTTCAAATCTTTCTAAATGCTTATTTCTGAATCCAATGACTACATCCAGATGAGACTTGTGCTTTAATGCCAGATCTAGTGCTCTGACAAGAGAATGTAACCTCTTAAAATTTGAATTATATAAATTAAACACCAAGAAAGAAAAAGCTTACTTCTCCCAATTGTATGTTTCTACATTAACAATAATAGCTCTGAGTATTAATCCTGCCTGAAGCAATATGGTTTCGGCTTCCTTGATGTTTCCACAGAGTAAAGCCATCTCAGCATTCTGCATTTCTTTCATCGGCAAATTCTTTACGTACTGAATGTATTGAACTTTGTCAGCCTGAGAAGTATAAGAATACATCAGTTACACAGAAAAAAAATTAGTGTGGGGAAAAATGTAATGCATTACTTCGTCAATAGCAGCATAAGCAACTTCGGCAGTATTGAGATCCCTGGCAGCAGTGGCCATTGCAGCTAAGCAAGCCCACAGAGCATCATCCTGTAACAACAACTTAATCAAAAGTTGCAACAAAAAGAAATATTTAAAATTAGTTAAACTAGTCTTTATTCACCTTAACAAATCTACAGAGACGGACGGCGTCGTCCCAATGGTGCAAAGAAACGTATCCGTGAAGTATCGCCGGATATGGCGAAACCGTCGCAGAAACTAGAGAACCATCTGCTCTTCTTATATTCACATGTGTGCCATGAAAACTGATAATCTGGGGATTTTTTCCAAAATCACTGTTAGAAAGAAGGTTTTATATCAGTACAAATATTTAATACTAACATAAAATACAAATTGTTTAAAAGATATATTGAGCTTGTTTTCATTAAATTATATAAATAATAATTTTTGTTTTCACTATCAATGCTTCCTACAATCTTCAAAATTCTTCATACTTGTAATTGTTATTATATTATAATGTTGTTTTAAGTATAATAAATTTATCCACTGTTAAACTAATTGCAACTTTATTATTTTTAATTGTCTACTCGGACTTAATTTATTAATAGGACATAATCTGGTGTTTAAAGATTGACACTAGTTCATCTAGAATGGTGAAATCACCATTCTAGATGAAGATTATAAAAAGGCATAGTCTCTACACCATAATACTGTTAAATTGTGAAAATTTGAACCTTGATGTGAGTCCTTTGGTTTTCATGTGTAAAGTTTTAGTTTTTAATGATTTACAACCTTTATTTATCATATTTTAATTTATTTATACAGTGAAATGTTTAAATCATTAATGAATTATACAAAGAGAAAAATAAATTTATACTCGGGTTTGGAATATGTATTTACAGTAAGTTTTTAAATTTATTTTTATGGCTATGTAAAATATTTTAACTTATACAATAACTTATCTTGTTTTATTATTGTTACTTTTTAGTTTGTGGTAGTAGAACTGCTGATGAGGGGCAAGATAGCCCGAAACACTTGTAATATGTGTACAGAATCTATTACTACAGGTGATATAATAAAGAAATTTTGTTCTTTCCTGAACAACTCTAATTGCTGTGTCAATCTTTAAACACCAGATTATGTCCTATTAATAAATTAAGTCCGAGTAGACAATTAAAAATAATATTAGAAATAAAAAGGACAGTAAGGCTTTTACAATTAATTGCAACTTTGTTTTAATTACAATCTGTACTTGTTACTCTGATATCTACATAATAATCATGATTGTATGTAACTACATATTATTGTTTGCTAGTGATGAGAATGTAGTTTTACAAGTGACTAACTACTTTTATTTTAAAACTAATTTGGCAAGATGAATATATGTAATAAATATTTTATTAACTTATCCCAAGTGTCGGTCACTAAATGATAATTAATTATTCATTAATAATTTTATAGTAAATTTAAGATTTAACAATCATTTGAAAGTAATAAATAATTTCCTAACAATTTCACAAACTCTGTTTTATTGTAGTACAAAATTACACATTAAATGTTCTGAAGTGTTTCGAGCTTTGTGAGCACATCTTTAGAGGAAAATGAATATTGTGAAATGTTAAACTCTGTCATGTTTAAACAAAAATTCTACATGCATCTGTTGTTTGATTGTATTCTGAAGTCTGACATGTGGGAAGCTCCAAAAATTAGTTGTAGCTGAAAAATGCATGGAAATTGTTTATAAGTGATTTTATCCTATAATAAAGAAGCCAGTATAATTTTAGTTTAAGAAAGATTCTATATTATCAAATATCACTTTCCAAAGCACTTATATATATCTTAATAATGTCAATATGTTGCATTATATTGCAATACTGATCTACTCACCATTCACAAAATGTTGCTATTCATTATAATATAATTTTAACTGACTTATTCCATTATAATTTATTTATTGATTTCAACTGTTAACTAAAACTTGTAAAACTGTAAATCTTCTATTACCCTGTATCTTTTTCTACTAAAGTGTACTGCATTAAAGTTCGATCGACAAATCCGGCTGCAGGATAATACCAAGTTGCCAGTTTTCCATCCTGTAGTGCTACTAAAATATTGGCGCCATCATTCCACATAATAGAATTAATCATTGTACCTACAAATGAAGACACATGGAATTAATACATTAAATTTAATAATTACTGACAGTTAAAAAACATAAAATTCACCTAGTTTAATCTGTTTTGAACTTCTTCCTGAAGACGATCTTACGGCAATCAAATATAAATCGTGATTTTTATCTACTACAGCTAATTTTCTTTCCATTGGTGGTCCACTTTGATCTAAAGCAACAATCATCACTTCCATCTGCAATGTTAAATAAAGTAAATTTTACTTTTTTTTTATCATTAGAAAATTCTTAATAATAAAACTACATAATCACTTTCATAAAAATATTTACCTTATGCATTAATGGTTTACCGTCACCAATAATTTTTCCATTTTGTGTATCAAATAAATAGATCACTAAATAAAATAAATTATATGCAATTAATATGAATTTTGAAAGCTTGAACTATAATTTTATTTATTTTTAGTGTCTCAAAAGTTTATAGATTGGATGTGCAAAAATCAAATAATATGAGATTAAAAAACCTGATAATTATAAGCAACTGACCATTGGTCAAGTGGATAGAATCAACAAACAGTGATAGTTAATTGTGGGTTTGTGCCTTGCCAATGGGCTGGCCACAAAGTTTTCTGAGTTGTTTTCCCATCTGTACTACCTAAACAGGGGCCAGTTTCCCATTGAAAGTTCACTCAGGCGGCATACCCCTTGGAAATCATATATATGTCACATTGCTGTATACAAACATAATTATTCCCAGTCCAGGAAGTTCTCCTGTCTGGCTGGCTTATTTGATTCACCCTTGGCTGGCTTTGTACAATTTTTCTGGGTTTCTTCCATATCTGTATCACTAAAAGAGGGGCCAGCTTCCCATTAAGTCCACATAGAAGGCCCATACAGTTATACTTCTGTGGGGTGTTGTAGTATTCCTATCAAAATTACTTTTCCAAATTGCTTGAAACCCTTATCAATAGACTGCCTACTCCTGCCTTCTTTTCCTTGATAGCTTTGGGTGGTCCAGTATAACAAGTTAGGTCTGGTTGGTTAGTCTTACAATCTCCACACTTTCCTACCTATCTTTAATTCCTCTTGGAATATATGAAAATGGTAAGTAAAAATGTAGCACAAACATAATAAAGTATAAAATACAACAAAACACACATGATATTATGAGCCCTCACAATGGACTAGGTTATTTTCTCTTCTAGGGATATTTTATGAGCCAACTTGGGACATCATCTACTAATCAACAATACACTCTTCCAATAAATAACATTCTCTGGCCTTTTAGAACTCTCAGAGTAGAAAAGGGCCTAAAAACTCAAAAAAAAAATATATATATATATAAACACTAAATCTTAGATTTTCTAACACAAATTATATGAAATATACTACAATTTAATGTAATTTCTTATTTATATATTTATTTTTATCTGATACCAAATATTATTATTGTATATGTTGTTGTTATCTCCAACACATACCTTTGATACTGAAAATAATCACTTAATTTATTTCTTCTTTTGTTTTTTTTTTTATCTTTAGATAATTAACTACAAACTTAAAAAATACATATGATTTAGTCTCAATACAGAATTCAATTTTCAATATGTAAATGTATTGAATAGTTTGAAAGTTGTAATATTTTTATCTTTGTGTGGTTAAAATTTGTAAATTCCCGATAACCCGGCA